ATTATCAGCAGGAATCGATAATATAATGTTCTTTAAGTGTGGAAGGTCATCAGTTACAGAGAAATCTTTGATTTCATGAAATAATTTTGAAAGAATAGCTTGTCCTTGTAAAAGAGAATTTTGTAATTCAGCTGGTGACAAACGTTCAGAATGATTCATATGTTTAAATTCGAAAGCAAGAATATTTTTTATTGCTTCGGCTCCTGAATTTGGCAAACTTTCAAAATCTTGTCGACCGCTCGTAAAATGATACATTCCACCACGTAAACGTAGTACCATATGAATTGTATATTCCTCTTGTATTTTATACTCCAAAAGAGTTCGGTGGTCTTCCAGCTGCATTCCAGAAAATATTAAACGTTGCTGATCAGGAGGAATACCTTCTTTGTCTTGTATCAATGCTTTCACAGAAGCTATATTCATGTTAAAGTCATCGACTTCTAATGTAAGCGTTCGTCCAGTAAGAGTCTTCACAAAAAATTGAAATCGATCCATGGATTTTGTAGCATTATTCTATAGAAGAAAAACCGCATGTGTAATGAAAAAAGAAAAAAAGATATAATTTACTTTTTCTTGAAGAATTTTTGCTATAATGATACAATTATCTTCATGTAACTTAGATGACAAGACAGTGTCATTTGCTTTGAGTATTTTACCTTCATTCCAATTTTGTTTATTAACTTGAAAATCTTGAGTTAATATAAATAATTTAAGTTCTATGTTTGGCAATTTTCGAAGTTTCTGTATTTGCATTTGAATCTTTTCTATAGTATCTGTTAGAAGAACTGATAGGATCACTTGTTGAGGTGATATATCTTCACGATATACTATCAAGATTTTCACTTCACCAAATGTAATAAATTGATAACCATCAGGATATTCAAATACAGATGATTTCAGTTTCGAATCAGTAAATGTTGAAATACTATTTTGATTTATTGTTCCAATTTGAATCCACTTTTGTAAATACTTTGGTACATAATTCTTTTTGTATTTCGTAAACAATGTACTGATTAACTCATGATCCATATATTTATTAGTTATTGAATTCCCATATGGATCAACAAATGTTATTGAACGTGATTTCAATTCTTTTTGTATCTTCTGTTCATTTTTCCATCGTTCATCAAGATATTTGGCGATTTCAATCATTTGATATTGAATTGATTGAACATGAAAAATTAAATCTTGATAAACAAATGAAGATGGGTCTTTCGATATAATAGCAGTCGAGGATGTTGTTAAATTATTTCTATTAGCTACAGAATTACCCATCTGTCGATGATTAAGTATCTGAAACTAAAGAAATATTGATAAACTAAACGCGAATGCAAATAGTAACAACTTCTGTAAAACAATAATTATTAGGATGTGTCGACAGGTAGATATGAGTCTTCTGTAGCCTAAGACTCTCACAGACATATCTACTTAACTTTAATATGTAAATATTGACATTTGTGACAAATCTTCTCTATATAGTTTTTAGATTCTTATTAATAACCTGGAGAAGGTCTCTGAATGAATTTTAATGAAATTCAATGCAACTTATGCTAATGTAACAGCTCCTACTCATAATCAACTTCTTTGAAAATGAATTATCATAGTTACCAAGGTATCATTGCACGCGAGAATCAATTTTAATCGCTGAGTTTCTATAATAACTTGAAATTATTAACTGTCATGAACAGCTTGATAGAATTGGTAAAACTCCAATATGCACCAAATCATTTGCTCTTTCATATGCGATAAAAAATTTTATCAAATACTTCTATTTTTCCAAAAATTTTGAAAAAATTCCTTCACCTGTATTCGAAAAATAAGCTTTTTTTGAAAAAAACAAAAAACCATTTTTCTTTTTTAGTTTTTCGCCGAACGTGGGTTAACGACGTAGTGAGAACAGAACTCTATCATAGTAAGGGATAAAGTCAAATATTTTTTTTTAATTGAAAGCTTGCATCTAGGACTATCTCCCCCTTGTGACCTTTCTTAAAAAAAAGCACTATTTTTATATAAAAAAACACCTCTATAAAAAATAGCACAATTTTTTAGGCACATTGTGAGTTATTAAACGTGTCATTCATTTTTTCCCTTAGAAAGTAAGAATTTTAAAAAGAATGATCACGAGAGGAGCTAGCTCTAGACACCAGCTTTCAAAAAAAAAATATTTGACTCTATCTCTTAAAACAATCCAGACAAACTTTAATTGTCTAGAAAGTTGTGAAAAAAATAAATTAAGTCAGCAGAAGTTATTCTTAATTCTTTCGTTGTTTTTTTCTTGCTGAATTTGTTTCACAACGGAAGTACATACTTACGATCACTCATGCAATAATATCGTAACTGCGCACACAAATATATGAGAAAAAGACACATGCTGCAATCTTTTTATATCTTTTTACAGGTGATTCATTCATCGAGAAAAAAAAACATTTTGTTTTGTAATGTAAGGGGAAAAAAATTGTATCATAACTGATTACTTTTATCTTCTCTCGATAGAAAAACAACGATAAAAAGATTAGAATATCACGTTTTAAATTTTCATGAATTTTGATTTTTCTTGTAAGCACTTTTCACGTTGAATAGAGAACAGTGATTTCAAAATTGCAGCTGATATTTTAATTAATGCGGTGCAAAGTTCATCATGTATTTAGTCCTTTGCATATTTTTCAATGTAACAAAATCTGTACTCTATGTCGCCATATTCTAGGGAATGGTAATATGCTAGAAACTCGTTCAAACTATATGTCAAACAGATGGATGACGTGATATAATCCAAACGACTTCGAATGTTCAATATGAGTTTTCGTTCTTCTTTAGTAAGTTTCACAAAACACTGATTTTGAAGATTTGATCTCCATTTTTCACTTGAGATAATTAAATTGGAGACCTTCGACAGGACAGGATCGGCTCGTGGTGAAATTGTTAATCATTCTCATGGTTCGTATCGTTTTGATTTAGTCTTGTATGACTTTTCTTTTTTTACTTATTAGACGTTATCATTGGAAGTTATCATTTTTTATTGCGATGACGTCGAGGATGAGAAAACAAAACATACATAGATAGACGTGCTTGTACTGTTGTATTCACACCTTAAAGAAAGTAGTAGACTTTTATGAAGTCTTATACTGTACGAAACTCTTATAACTATGTGAAATCAAAGTTGCATAAATCTCTTGAACTCTATACCTTTGTTACACTATTGATAGCAAGAGTAAAACACAACCTTTTTCACACCTAGCAAAAGAGTCGATACGTATCTCATTAATAGTGCATTATTCGAAATTTCATTCTCTATCTACATAGGACTATAGTAAGCTTTTTACTCCTATTATTCATAGTGAAACAAAGGTATATGATTTAGGTGACATAATTTGTTTTGATTTCAAACATAAGACCTTCCTACGGAAAAGATTCTCTAAAAGTCGATTGTTTTCTTTAATACGTCAATAAAACAGTATAAGAACGTCTATCTATGTAAATTGTATACATAGAAGACAAATAGGATGGGTGTGGGTGTGGGTTCGAGAGTAGGTCGGTGTGCTCGTAGAGACGTCTTTTATTTACAGCTACTATAGCATTCCTCCTACAAGCCACACTTCAGACCCATCCACATCCGCCATCTTTTTTCTTTTTTTCATTACATTTTCGATGTGGAAAAAAATAATCTATTTGTTTTTCAACATCTTTCGATGAACATATAAAACAAGTTAAGAAAACTGTCATCCTGAAATCTTTAATTGATGATTGACCATTATTCCGAAGAATATTTCAATTAATTTCTCAAATTAAAAATTATTTAAATTCTTCAAACATAAATGATGAATTAGTTGTCGACAAAATATTCGATAAATTCAATTATCATTTGACTTGTTTTATAAAACTTATTTTCATGAATAAATCACTGGCTGAAAATTTTCTAGTAATTATAACTTAATTAAAGAAATATGATAAAATGTCTACTCGTATAGAAATAGAGCAAGTGAAAATTGCAAGTTGAAATATTTTATTGTTCCTGTGCACCTAGGCTGAAAAAAATTGAGAATAACCAAACATGTACGAACGATTTAAAATTTCGCAAAACTAAATATCTATTAATCAATATTTAACTATAGTCAAATATTGAAAATCATATATGAAACTATCGAAAATTAGAAGAAAAAAATATCTCGATATATAAAGTTTATTTTGTCATAGTTCGGCAGTGTTTGACATTATTTTTAAAAAAATCATTTTACTTTTTCGATTATTAACTTTAAAAGAGTTTCATTTCTCGAAGTATAAGTGATGTTGCCATGTCTGCGATTTCGAGAAATTCCAACAACTGTCACTTATATAAAATTGATTAAAATAAGCATCAGAAAAATTCTGTTTATTTTACTAACATGATATATTGTTTCTTTTGTTTGTGAAAATCAAAATTATAATTGATAAATGATAAAAGCATTATCAATAAGAAAAACAAGATTTGATGTTCCAAGTAAAGCAACATTCCGAATATTTCCATTAAAATCCATAAATCCATTTGAATAATTATTATATTGATTTATTTTTAAATTAAATTCAATATCGATGAACATTTTAATAAATGAATTTGATAAATAATCTTTAAATATAATAAATTGATTAATTGGATTTAAAAAAAGTCATTTAACAATTATCTTCCAAAGGAATTTTAGTTAAAAAAAGGTTGATCATTTGTTAATTGAAACATATAAATAAACCAATTGTGATTTATGTTCATAATAATAAATAATTTGTTATTATTTTATCGAATTGAAAGAACTTTTTCTATATTACAAAATTGATTATAAAATCGATTTTGAATAATTAAAGATGTTCCAATTTCAATTAAATCAAGAATTTGAAATTTTCTTATAAAGCGAAATGTTGATAAATAATATTCTTCAAGATAATATGTATTTGAATTAAATTGACATTTTATTATAAATATTTTATCTTTTGAACAACTACATGATAAAAATTCTTCTCGATGATCTTTTAATTTAATACTTTCTATAGTTGATATACAACATGTTAATGGATTTAATAAATAAATTTCTTTTTTCATTAATATTATTAAATTATTTGAATAAGAAGACCAACTTAAATTTTTAAGATCATCTTTAAGAATTTTTTTACTATTAATAGATCAAATAGGTTTTAAATTTTCATCAAACAAATGTAAATGATTATTTGCACTTTTCAATATATATTCATTATTACAAATCATCAAATTTGATAATGATAAACGACAATGTTTTGGAAGCATTTTATATTTATATAGTTTTTCCTTAAAACAATTTGTATTTATATTTTCAACTACACAAAACATATTTGAATCTTTGAATATGATTGATTTATCTACAATTATTTAACAATAAATATTAAAATATATTCCATTTTCTGCTTTTTCTTAATGAACTAACCTATTGAAGATTGATCAAAAAAAATAATAAAATGATATTTGAGAATTACTCTTGTTCTCTAATACCGAGATTATTTTCTCTCGTAATTTATTCATTTTATCTTTAAAATTTCTTTGATTAATACCATGTAAATCAATTGTTAATTGATCACTTGTTACTTTATCTATTTTTAGAACGATTTGAATTATCAATAAAGAACAAAAAAAAAAAAAACGAAAAACTTACTAAGCCAACCAGATGGTTTCCAATTAGGCAAAAGACGACAAGCAATAATAGGTATTCGTTCACTTTTAATAATTTCAACTTGTTGTTAGCAATCTTTTGAAGCCTGATACATCGGTATTATGAAACATAGAAGAACACTTATGTTCTCGATAATACTATCTCTACTATAATTAAATTCTATGTTTATAGGAGATATGGATGTTTTTGTTGCTATAGTCTCTGTTTAAATACCTTTCATATATATCTTTATTGATTATATCTTGAACATAAATCCATACTGGAAGATTTTCATTTTTCAAATAATTATAAATATTTAAGACAAGTTCCTCATTCTTTTTATTATATGAAAATACGACATATTTTGATAATAAATTTGGTAAAGATGTCATTGTTTAATATAGTCAAATATTGTACACTTATTTAAAATATAAAAGTATCTTTAGATTTTTTTTCAGCTTCAACAACATTCAACATACTTAACAATAGAGCAAACTTTATAAAATCAACAATTGTTCTTTTCTTAATGTAACCGAACGTCTTAATACAGCTCTCTCCTTTAAAAAAAACATAATTTTGCTTTTTGATTGATTATTTGCCTTTTCGATGAAAAAAGAAATCTTCACTGATTGCGCTTATACAGCAGTTTATTAAAAAAGTATCGTTTTATTTCAAAAAAAAAAAAAAAAAAAAAACACTACAAAAATTAACATATTGAACATTTTTTTATTATTATACTAATGTTGTTCCAATGTTTTTACGGATAAGTTTCTGTTGGAGAAAAGCTTCAACTGAGAGAATTAAAATGAGAAAAGAAAGAACACAAACAACTAGTTTTGAAAAAATTAATATATCACACAGATAAGACATTTAAAAACATCTTACTCAGTATATTCTTGATGTACTCTTATTTATGAATAAATTTGAGAACTTTATTCAATTATTAAAAAAAAAATTATTTCAATAAATAGAATTTTAATATTAAAAAAAAGTATAAAATGACGAGATAATTCATAAAAATCTAAGAATTATTCTATGTAAATCATTTCATACTTGTTATGATTATTTTCATACATCAGTATAATATGCGAAACATCATTAACGACACTTGTTTTATAGGTGAACATAATAAATAAATACAAAGAGGATAGATTATATTGAAATACAAATATAAAAAAATAATGAATAACATATCAGTTTAAGATAAAATATTATTGAAATGACTATCACCTTATTTTCATTGTTTAGAAATAAATTCTCTTTCTTTTAATTAATTTTTTATTTATTCAATCAATTAGAGTAAGTTACATTTTCATTTTGTTTCTCTTTTTTTTTAATTATTATTATTTATTATTAGTTTTCATTTTTCTTGTTATGCTTATTCTCTTATTATATCTGCAGTAAACGTCTAAACACAACGATACACTATATTTAATATATTCTTCTATTAACACATATGCTACACCATGAATAAGAAATGATTATGTTTTACAATATTTTATCAAAATTTGACAATTATGTTGAGATAGTTTTTCATTTAAACTACTTTATGTTAATATTATATTGATTGTTAATGTCGAATTGTTTATAAATCATTATATTTTAGACAATAATATGATCAGACTAATGATAAACCTTAAAAGAGAAAGTTTTATATCTAATGACATTTTATACAGCATATAATTATCTCTTTATCAATTCTAGTCTTTATTTTTTGCAATAGTTGTTGGACACTCGCCACATTTACTATCTTATTCAATGTTTATAATTGAATTACTCTGATGAACATGTTCATCAGTGATGGATTTTTATGTTGTTTGTGGAAGTACAGATGATGCATCTGCAACAGCTCCAATAACTTTAACAAGCGAGACTTAAGTGAAACAATAGCCACATTTATTGAACATTAGCTGGATTGGTTCGAAAAAGCTCATGTGAATCAAATTCAATTTTCCATGATAAAGAATACGTAGCATGTGGTTGCATTAATAGTTCAATACGGAATGGTGAAAAAAACTTAAAAAATATGTAAAAGAAATTTTCTTGAAAAAAAATGAATTACTTTATTTGCGTAAAGAAAGAACTGTTATTTACCAGAGGTTTCCCATTGAAAGTCTCATGTTTATACATCCTCTGGAAAAAATATTTTATTTTCGATTTACTAGTCGATGCAAAATGTTTCTTCGAAAATAAACAAGATCTATACAAGAAAAAGCATACCTTTCGAGACTAAAAAATCAATAAGTGCGAAAATATTTTTGATTCATCGTTATAGAACTTAATTCAAAATATGAGAATTATTGAAAATTGAACAATAAACAGTGTAGAGTGATTTCGATTTCAATTTTCACTCGAGACTTTCTCGAGATGTCATCTAGTGTTTTTTTTTCATTCTTTTTCTCGATACATCTATCAAATGTTGCCATTTCCTATTACACTGATCTCAAGAACAGAAAATTAGAAAATATTTTTTTCAAAAGCAAGATAAAAACATTGAGATTAAAATACTGTGGACTGACTTTTTTTCTCATTGTAAAAAACTATAAAGTACGGAAATAAAACGAAAGGAAGCCATGTGACACTTTAGATGTGTGAAATAAAGCAGAAAGTCTAAAAAAGAAGGCGTGAGTGCTTTACCGTAGTATTTTAACTATATCTCTAAAGCAATATAATATTTTTCAAAAATACCTTTTTCAATCAGATGGCCCCAACTCTCTGGTACAAACTCCCTGACAAACATATCTCTTCACAAGGAAGGAATTTACATGACATTTAATATTTCTGACACTGTCGAAAAAAGTGGATCTTTTGTGTGAGCGCATTATCAACATGCATTTATTTTATCAAAAGAGAAAGTATAAACCTAATTGAAATAAAACTTATTGATGTTAAATAACTTCGTATCATCCATTTTGTGTAGCAAATTTCGAGATTCCAGCCTTAGTCGTTTTGAAAAGATTGGAATTGAAAGTTGTCAAAACATAAGCGAGTTATCTGCGGAGAAACCGTATAAAGATGTTCGTAGTCATTAAACTATGAACACTTACTAAAATTTTCTTTTTAAAAACTATTATCCTAATCTATCGTAGTAAACGATCGTCATCTCTTGTAACTATTATTTGAAGAACCACACTCTATAT